TCTTTCCTCGTTGGCTTCTGTTATTCACCTTTCTACACACATGAAATTTAGAGAATACTCAGCTGAAGAGGATCACAGAAACTAGAACACTGAGATAACAAATCCATGATCACAGTAAAAACACATCCTACTTCTTTCAGAAAAAATATACAGAAAGAACTATTCTTCACCCATTAAGAAAAAAAAGTCATTCAAATTTAAAGAACTTAAGAAGCGGCTATATATAACTTATTTTATTCAAATACAATGCTAGATATTCCCTGCATTTAGAATATTTATAAGCATTTTCATTTTCTCACATTTAATGGGCAGGCATGAAGACAGGAGTTAGGGGTCGATGGGAGCATCTCGGATACGGTACACCACACAGACTCCAGCATCTAGAGAGACACAGGTTGTGTCTCAAATTCACTGCACAACAAAATTTCCTTGGAGACCACCTGCCAAATAGGTAGAATTTCCTCTGCATTGAGTACTTCTGCAGACCCCACTATACCGCTTCTGGTCATGGTGGCTCAAGTTGACTCCCTGGTTTCTGTTACAGCAAGAGGGCCCCTCCATCGTCAGGCCAATCTGCAGCAATTGTATGGCCACGTTTAACAAAAGTCCCCAGGGGCACTTATTTCTGCTAACTGGAGAGAAATCAACACACTCGAGTATGCATTGTCTTCAGGTTTCTTCGTGTTTTCAGCTAATGAAAATGTTAATAAAATGTGGTTTTGGTTTATCTGTTTTTTTCCCCTAGTTTATGAAAGTGGGATGTATGTGGATAGCGGGCTCTTATAACTTTCTAAATCCATTCCGTGTAGCCTTCCTGACCCAGACACCTCTCTGCTGAGGAACATGGAGATTTGTTTGTCATTAAGTGATGGGATGAAAATGTTAATGTGTACCCTTTATATACATTATATACAATAGCCAGATTATATACAATAGTCAGATCGGACATGGAGGGAAGGATGTTATTTTTCCTGTGTGTGGATAAATGACAGAGGGTATCTTTATGGGTTAGCACATGGCAGGTATGCAGAGGTGGGCATGAGGAGAGACTGGGTGGGAGATGTATAGAATGATTAGTCCAGAGAAAAATGTATTATTAAACTGAAGTTATTTTGTAGTAGACGACAGAGACAAACTGGAATTCGCAGGACATGGACTATGAAAACCAAAGGTAGTTATGTTTGTGCAGTAAAATGTGACATATTCTCTTTGTTCTCGTCCCAATTTCCAATTTCCCCTGCCAATGTGAGTGTCCTTGGCCAAATGGCAAGTGACCAGAAGTGGGCTGGGAAGGGAAGAAGGTGAAGGTTGGAGCTTTTTAAAATATTTGGGCAATAATAAAAATAATATGAAACTGAAGTCATCACACACTGGGAAGAGGGGATCAGATATTAGACTCATCACCAAAGATGAGTGTACAAGACATAGTGTACAAATAATAAAGATACTTATGTTCATGTAGTAAAATTCATAAATTGCTTTGTGCTTTTCCCAGTTCCTCCTTAAGCAATGAGTAACTTTGAAGGAAATAGGAATCTTCTCACATTTGGTGTGTGGTGTGTAATTCAGAAATTACTGTCCTCACTTTTTTATCCCTTTATTATATGTGGAAGTTTTCAAAGCCCACCTTTTATTCTGAGGCTTCATCTTGCTGTTTCTATTAAGGAAAAACAGATCCCATTTGAGGGTCCTGGTAATAAACACAGACAGACCATACATTTTTTAGAAAGGCCTATGAAGCCAAGGGATTTGGAGAATTAGAAAAGAAAATATGAAAAGAGGTCAAATTGTTTCCACTTTTTCTTATGATAAGGTGAATGATTTATTCAGTGTTGTAGAGAGTAGCGATGTGCATAATCTCTACCCCTTACTGTGCTATTCTTAGTACATGGATAAATGATAGTCAGTCCCTGCCCTTGACCTGGCCATGGCCTCATTGTGTACACATAAAATTAAATGGCCAGGCAGGCATTCGAGATAAAGTATTCATGGTGTTCAAATAATTTATTTAAAGGCGTCAGACTCAGAACAGATGACAAGAATTGTATCGATATTTACAGTTTTCTTACCATGTACACATATGATCTGTTAAATCCAAGAGGGCTTTAAGCATTCTGCCATGCCAAGAGCTTAAATGATGTAAAGGGATAACTTGAGCTTTTAGGACATAGTGAGTTTTTTAAATATACTTTTCATTAAATTATACTTAATATACTATTATATTGGTTTCAAGTATACAACATAGTGATGTGACAGTTATCTACATTACTAAAAGATCACCCACTAGTGTAATTACTCTCTGTCAACATAGAAAGATGTTACAGAACCATTGACTGTATTCTCTTAAGCATCACGATTTTACTGACCACTTTTGAAAGTATCTAAGATGAATAAAAATGGAAAATACAGCAGTGATTTCAAGAGCCTCACCCCAGCACCAGAAAGCAAAGTATAGAATGTGAGTTTTTTGCAGAGACCATAGATTCATAACCAGAACCTATTTCCAGCTGTATGGATTAAATAGAAGATAGTTGAAAATCATTATCAGGAATAATGGGAAAAACACATTGTCTGCTGGTTAGGCCCTTCATGTCTTCCCCCTGAGAGCTCTAATCTCGTTCAGTTCTTCAGCGTTTGTCCCTGGGCAGTCGGGACACTGCTTGGTATCCTAAGGCATCTAAGCCACCGTTGCAAGAATGATCAGACTTACATCAATCAGTAGGTCTCAATGTCAGTTTCCACACTGGAACCATCTGGATGCTTTTAAAACTCCTCATGCTCAGGCCACACCCCAGTCCAATGAAATCAGGAACCTCTGTTGGGGAGACTCTGCTACCAGTATCGAGAAGTTTCCCAGATGATTCCAGTAAGAACCAAGGCTGAAACAAGCAAATGCATCTTCATACATAACCTACATACCGAGATTTATGAAGGAGCGACATGTATGGAAAATACACAAGAGCTGCTGTACAGGTGCAGACTTTAAACATATAAAAAGACAGTAGTTCATCTTCCCAGGATGTTTGGATCACCAGTGAAAATCCCCCGAAGTACCCACGGAAATAATTGGATTCCATCATGCAGGAATTTTGACACACCTCCAGCTCCATTAAAGATGTACTAATGGAAGCAATATTCAGATTTTAAGCAAGACGAGGTGGAACCCACATGCTCTGCCAGAATGATGTGATGAGTGAGAAATAACTGGCAGGTGAAGGTGTTTGGCTTTCTGCATTTTCCAATGCATGTTCAAATTAATGGCATTAGGGCTGAGATTAGACTCTTTTGCTGAAGAGCTTCCACATGGCCGCTTTGATATCCCTGTTCCTCAGGCTGTAGATGAAGGGGTTCAGCATGGGGGTGACCACAGTGTACACCACCGAGGCCACCGCATCATTCCTGGGAGAAAGTGAGACAGCCGAACTGAGGTACACCCCAAGACCAGTGCCATAAAATAAGCACACGACTGACAGGTGAGAGCCACAGGTGGAGAAGGCTTTGTGCTTCCCGCTTGCTGAGGGGACTCTCAGAACAGAGGAGACAATTTTGTAGTAAGAGAAGAGGATACCGGAGATAGGGAGAAACCCGGAGATGGCACCAACAAGATACATGACTACGTTATTGGTGGAGGTGTCGGAACAGGCGAGGCTGAGGAGTTGAGAAGGGTCACAGAAGAAATGAGCAATTTCCACATCCTTGAAATAGGTGAGCTGAGATACGATCGAATTGTGCATCTGGGAGACCAGAAGACTGGTGAAAAATGATGCCGACACCAACAAGCCACAGAGGCGGGGGTTCATGATGGCCGTGTAGTGCAGGGGGTGGCAGATGGCCACCAGCCGGTCATAGGCCATCACGGCCAAGAGAAGACTGTCCAAACACCCAAAAAACATAAAAAAAGACATCTGCGTCAGGCAGCCTGCATAGGAGATGACTCCACTGTGGGTTTGGGTGTCCGCTATCATCTTGGGGATCGTGGTGGAGGTGAAACCAAGGTCAGCCAAGGACAGGTTGCAGAGGAAGAAGTACATGGGGGTGTGGAGGTGGGGGTCAGAGCCTACGGCCAGGATGATGAGCAGGTTCCCCAGGACGGTGACCAGGTACATGGACAGGAACAGCCCGAAGAGGACGGGCTGCCATTCCCGATCATCTGACAGGCCCAGGAGGAGGAATTCTGAGACACGTGTTAGGTTTTGTGGTTCTGTGGAGCTTGGACACCTTTTGAAAAAGAAAAGAGTGTTGGGAAAAAAGAAGCAGGTAAGTGGGTACCTGGGCCTGTGTCCATCATTTGGGTGCCAGAAGTTCACAAGTAAAGTGTCCACACGCTGGGTCACATTCTCCGGTCCCTTCAGCAGTATTGCTCAGTGTCTGAAATCCAAGTTTCCTAGAACAGTTTCCTTACTGGTTTCTGAGCTTATTCTCCTCTTTGTATACACACTTACATTAGAAAAACTCAGATATAGAATGTCAGAAGAAAAGAGGACATTCAGGGATAAATGAGCAATCCATGAGAATACCTTAAAATGCAAGCCTGCTTTTTTAAGGAAACACATTGAATAAGAACTGTTCTTCCCCCTCAAGGAAAAAGAGTCATTCCAATTAAAGGATGTTTTAATGAAAGAAGCAGCCTTCTGTCATTCAAATACAGTGCAAGCAATTCCACTGATTTAGAATATTGATAAGCTTTCACTTTTAGAACTATTATCTGCATTCTCAATTAAAGTCAAATGTTTATAATCAGAAGGTTTTTATTCTGTGTACCAGTTATCCTCGCGAGTTGTCATTATTCTTTGGTTTCCTGGCATAGACACAAACCAGTACCATTTCACTGTGCCTCTTGCCATGCGGGGCACCCCTGAAATAAAGACAAAAGCAGGAAAAAAGCAGTGGATGCAAGCCGTAAGGACTGTGCTCTGTTTCTGTGAAACAAGGAAGGATTTATTCAGTATTTAACTTTTTGTTGCTGTTGTTGCCAGCGCTGTTCCAAAGATTATGTAAACTCTGGGGAATCAGAATTGAATGTGACTCAGTCATTTCCCTCCAAGTACTCAGTATCCAGTTGTCTGGGGACAAAAAGAAAATGCTTTGTCAGATGTCCATTGAAAATGAAGCCACCCATCTGATCACCATATACTTTGAATGAATGCAATAAAGATAGTGTATTCGCTATTAAGAATTATTATCTCTACATTTTTCTGCCTGTTGTATGCATGCATCATATATTTAATCACATAGGTACAATTCATCATCTATTTAGTCCTTCCTCAGTGGTATCAACTGGGAATCAACTTAAAAAGACAATCTGGAGACTCAGTGATAATAAGAACTTTCTTCTTGTAACTAGTTAATAAGTATGGCAGATGGAACTTAAAATTACATAACAGAGGCGCATGCAGTTAACTTCTTTACTGCG